ATATAACATAAGACAGTTACATATGTTATATCTCTATTTAAATGATATCAGAGTTTGTGGCTGCTGGTGAAATGAAGCTGAGCTCACATTATATATTTATGAAGTGTATGAAGAAAGGAAGAAGGAAGTCAGCCTCTTTCCATATATTGATCTTTGCGTGTGTGTGTGTGTGTGTGTGTGTGTGTGTGTATGATGGGGTTGAGGGGCCTTCATTGTGTGTCAGGGGAACCTCGGGCTAATGGTTTTGGTTCTCGTGGGACAACAGGGTGGGGTGCTAAAGCTAAAACTGTTGTGTGTCCATTAGGACAGAGGAAATGGATGCTGCTGGCCAATCACAGCATCAAGAACTAAGTGTTTTCACTCAGGACATAAGACAATTTGACCTGATTACTCCTCGTGCAGAGTGATGAAAAATATTGATTTCGATGGGTTGAGTACAAGCTAGTGCAGTTTGCTGTCATTTGTTCTCAGTTTCGACTCAGTTTCGATTATGACTTCCGTCATAGCTTTGATGATAATAATAATATAAATAGGCCCAGAGTCCAAAACACTCACCAGACTTCTACTTTCTATCTATTTCAATATTTCTAAATTTCAAGTGGCTCTAGAACTGAAGTGGAACTGTTCCTCAGACTGGATCTGTTTTATATCAGGCTGACTATCTTTAACAATCAGTACATTTTCTATCAATAATCACACCGTTCTCTATCACTGTCAGGCATCGAGAGCAAAAACAGGAAAAAAGAGACTCACCTCGGATCAGTATGCTTCCCGATCCTCTCTGCGTGGAGACATGAGAAGAGGCGATAGGAGGGGCCTGTACGTGTGCTTGGTAAGAGCATAGGAATATGGGCGGGCTGGAGCTTCCCAGTTTAGACCAGCTGCTGGACGCCACCTCGGACTATTATGATGGTATCACAACTTTATAGTAAATATGTTGATTTTTCTTTGTTATAAGAGACACAGTCAGCTGTCCTGGGCTGACTAACTTATCACAGAATAGAAAAGTCTTTATTAAAAGAAAACAGCTAGTGAATTAGTACAGGGCGACCTGCAGGGTCATTTTATGCTATAATCTTTCACCAGAGGGTCTACATGGTTTTCTAATGCCAGCTAAATAATAATAACAAGCCATCTGTGCCTACAGGGTTACTAGAATTACCATTATAATTGATTACTTTCTTATGACTGGTTGAAACTAGTTTTCAGTCATTCCTGTTATTGCAGCAATCCTTACATATATAAAAACATACATCTTATTTGGTAAACAAGAAGTAATAGCTTACTAAATGTAGTAAGAAATATCATATGACATGTCCATTTTTCCAAGGGTGCAAAAGAAAAGAACATTACACTCTGCTAGACAGATGTACTGCATTGTAGAGAGTCAGTGGATGAGATATGAGAGATTTTCTGTGTCTGTCCTTGTGACAGTGGGG